TTCTCCTTGAAAAGAAATTATAATCTTGTGACAGTATAGGCCATGTGAGAAAATTTGATTAGTGCAAATGTTGCATTTTACAGATGAGAAAACCTGAATTTTTTTTTAAGTTCAAGGTCTCATGGGGGGAGTGAAGATAAAATTTTGCCATTGTTATCAGTGTCATCTATCTTATAAGATACTTATCTGGAGTATTTAACAAAACACAACACAAATGGAATATTTTTTATGATCTTTGGAAATCACTCATCTGACAATAAATGGTTTTTGACTCTCTGCTATGTAACAGGCACTACTCATGGACAAGCATTCTTGATGTGAACAACAAAAAGTTCCTGCCATGGAACTATAATATAATATAGAAAAGACAGATTATAAATAAATAAGGAGGGCGCCTGGGTGGCTCAGTTGGTTAAGCGACTGCCTTCGGCTCAGGTCATGATCCTATAGTCCTGGGATCGAGTCCCGCATCGGGCTCCCTGCTCAGTAGGGAGTCTGCTTCTCCTTCTCCCACTCCCCGTTTGTGTTCCCTCTCTCACTATGTCTTTCTCTGTCAAATAAATAAATAAAAAATCTTTAAATAAATAAAAATAAAAATAAATAAATAAATAAATAAATAAATAAATAAATAAGGAAATAACTACATAGCACAAAGCCAGATAGTGATGAGGAAAATAAAAGAGAGTGAAGCAACAGAAAGGGATTGCAGTTGCTGCTTTGTTTATGGTGTTCAGGGCAGGCCTGACATGTGAGGGATACCTGTAAAAAGTGAGTGAAGTGAATCATCTGGACATCTGGAGGAAGAAAGTTTCAGGCAGAGCAAAAATCAATGCAAATTTCTGAAGATGTAAAATTGCCAAGCTCAAGAAACAGAAAGGAGGTCATCATGTCTCAAAATTATTGCACAGAAAATAGCAGAAAATGAGTTTGGAGAGATCAAATAAGGCTTTTTAGGCCAAGAGAAGGACATTGGATTTTATTCTATGTGTGATCAGAGGGTCACTGGAGGCTTTTGATCAGAGCCATGATTATCACTAGAATTCCACTAAACTGAATCATTACAATACCCTCTTTTTCCAATAGTACTTGATAAAATGTCATGACTTTATATATGTTTGAATCTTCAGGATATGTTTTACTACCACTTTACTACACAAAGGGAACTCCCTAAAAAGAATGTATATATTCATGTTATGTACATTCATACACATGTTTGTTTTGTGTACAAAACCAAATGAAACTTTGAAAGAGATATAAGTATATTAGAGTTTTGAAATATTTGGATCTTGAGCCAACTGCATCAGAATGACCTGGCTCATTAAAAACCAGGCTAGAGTCCCAGTCTAAATCTTGTCAGTAAACATGTTGGGATGGTCAGTGGATCTGAATTTTTAAAGATCTCAGTGTTTCTTAATGCACATGAAAACTTTGGGGACCATTGAAATAAATATTTTATCAGAAAGGTAAGAGATTTTAAAAAAAATGATCCTAAGGTACTTTCTAGATTACTTGTCTTCTTTCTATCTTGGGCTCCATACTTTAAGAAATAATATTCTAATGGGTTGCCTTACTTGTCAAGGCACTAGAATGGTGAGTTGGTGGTGAATTAAAAACCACAACTAATGATGAAAAGATGAGGACACTGGGCTTAAGACCTGAAACTTGCCTCTAAATATCTGATGGGTTAATATCAAGAAGAGATAATGGATTCAGCAAACCCGTTCTGTGTTGTCCTGGGATTGTGAATGAAGTCAGGCTGAAGGGCAGACATTAGACAGAGATAAATCTGGACACAAATAAAGGAGACTTTGAAATTACTTGAGTTGATCTACATATAATATCCATCATACGTACCCTGTGATGAGGAAGCCTCCTAATAACCAAGCTGACTGTCCACCTCAGGGATGCACAGAGATCCTCTGTGAAGGAGGTGGTTTCGGATACCCAAACTCTCAGGCTACTTCCAAACCTGAGTCTGGGTTAACAGGATGACTATTGATTCTTCTCTTCCAGGGAAAGAGAAGCAGAGGAAGAAAATAAACATTCTGGCTACAGATCAAATGGGACTGAATCAGCATCAGAAAAAGTGAGTCATTAACTAGATTTTAACAAGAATGATCTTTCTGTAAGTCAACCCTTGGCAATCAAAAATATGGAAAGAGAACGTCAATGTTACCAACCAAGATCTTTGCCCTAAGAAGATCAGAAGTCATCATACATGTCAATATTGCTGGTAACTTGTTCAATGGAGAAATTTAATGCCAAATGGAAATCTTTCAGTCTAACATATTGCAAAGCACTTTTACAAATAGTAGTTTATTTCATTGTCTGAACAACCTGGTCAAATACATTTTTTAACTTTATTTTATAGATGAGAGAATGAGGCTCAGCTACTGTCACAAATTACTATCAACAGTGGCTTAACACAACGCAAATTCTCTCTGTGGAGGCTCTAGGGAAGATCTGTTTCGTAGTCTTTTCTAACTTCTAGAGCTGCCTGCATTCCTTGGCTCGTGGCCACCTTTAAATCAGCAGGGGCCAGTTGAATTGTTTTCATGCTGCCTCACTCTGATCCTGACTTTCCTGCCCCCCTCTTTCTCTCATGAGAACTTCTGTGATTACACTGGGCCACCCAGATAATTCAGGATAATCTCTCCATGTTATGGGCAGCTAATTAGCAGTCTTAGTTCTATCCTCAACCTTAATTTGTCCTTATCATGTCAGGCTACATGTTTACAGTCCCCAGGAGTTAGGATGTGGACATGTTTGTAGGTCATTGTACCGCCTCCCAGCAAGGTTAAGTGGCTGCCTGACTCTCAAATCAAAATCTTCAGATTTTCAAGCCCAATCAAATACTATGTGAAAACAGCCATTTCCAATATAAACTTTCCTTCTTTTTAGGACACGTGTGATGAGTTTAGAAGCCAAGTAAAAAACGGAAAACTTATCTGCACCCGAGAAAGTGACCCTGTCCAGGGTCTGGATGGCAAGATACACGGCAATAAGTGTGCTATGTGTAAGGACAAACTGTGAGTATTTTCAAAAATGAGCCTTTAACTGCAAATATTAAAGTTTGATAATCATTTCTCATCAGTTTGAGAAAATGACTTCTTTTTAAAAACAGATCTAATTATTAATGAGGGGTTTGTTCACTTTGGTTGAAATGTTTTTTTTCCATTTTTCTTTCAAGGGAAAGGGAAGCGGCTGAAAGAAAAAAGAAAGAGCAGGACAACTTGAGAAACACAGGAGAAAAGAGCAATGAAAACGAGGTAGTGTGTGTTAGATGTACTAATACCTAAAGCTGGAAGCTTGGGGGTAAGGTTAATTCATTCAGCAAATATTTATGGAATGCCTACTCTGTCCCACTCATTGTGTATATAATGATGAACCGGAAAGCATGGCCAGATCTTGCAAAGAAATAGCATGCTATTTCAGTGCTCTGAAAGCAACTCTAGTGTAATTACCACCTATCTGTAGGACCAACGACCATTGCCAAGCTATTGTTATGATGAAGTGGATTTCTTCTCTGAAGTTTTATTTTTTTTTAAAGATTTATTTATTTATTTATTTATTTATTTATTTATTTATTTATTTATTGAGAGAGAGAGAAAGAGCATGTGTGTGTAGGTAGGGGGAGGGGCAGAGGGAGAGAATCTCCAGCAGACTCCCCACTGAGCACAGAACCCAACATGGGGCTCCATCTCATGACCCGTGAGATCTCCACCTGAGCCGAAACCAAGAGTCAGACTCTTAACCGACTAAGCCACCCAGGCGCTCCTCTTCTCTGAAGTTTTAAAACAAATAATTAAGCAAATAGACACCAAAACTACAAATAAGAAAGCAAATATCAAACACTTAGAGCTCCAGATGATAAATTCTTGACATGGCATTCCAGTGCCGTCTTGTATTCAATTAGGGCTTTAAAAATAATGTTCAATGCTTTACAACACTAACACATAGAATATGACACAGCACAATCTCTTCTAATCCATCAATGGACTCCAGTTAGAAAAGAGAAATCGTGAAGTCTCCCCAGGAAAGTTTTCCTGTTAATGAATGTTAATGAGGGAACTTTTCTTTTTTTTTTTTAAGATTTTATTTATTTATTTGAGAGAGAGAGAATGAGAGACAGAGACCATGAGAGGGAGGAGGGTCAGAGGGAGAAGCAGACTCCCTGCCGAGCAGGGAGCCCGATGCGGGACTCGATCCCGGGACTCCAGGATCATGACCTGAGCCGAAGGCAGTCGCTCAACCAACTGAGCCACCCAGGCGCCCCAATGAGGGAACTTTTCATTAGGTCTATACTGACTTACAAAATGAACCATTAATAGTAATTTTCATTTTAAAAAATATATGTTGGGAATATCTGTTATGCATTTTGGTAAATGAATGGCCTTGAGATAAGATTTTATTGTATAAATTCAAATCATCTCTACTGGCCATCTATTCTATTTATAATCTTAGTCAATATTTTTCTTTTTTTAACATCTATTTTAGAAATTTCAAACAAAAAATATTCTATATATTCATATATTAAAAATGTCCAGACATTTTGTGTGTTTGTGTGGCAAAAAGAGAGCTATGGTCTTACCTACATCTGCAAAGTTAAATTTTTTACAAATCACATGCATCATCATATTTAAACCTGCTGCTCTGAACAAAAGATTCACAACAGCTGTGTTTCAGTTTCAAAAAGGAAAAAGTTTTTTATTATTATTATAGAAACCTAATAGGAACAGAAGAAGAAAGGAATCTACACATAGATGAAAGTAATAGTAGGCAATAAATGAGAGTAAGGCAAAGTTACATCAAATCAGATACTTACAACATTCAATCTCATTAGCTGGGGAAGCCCTATGGGAACAGCCAGGCTGGAGTCCCCGCTGAGAGGCCTGAGCTGAGCATCCTCCCCTCAGGTGAGACTTCCAACCGACCCTCCTCATAGAGCCATATTTATAGGGCAAATAATAGGGTTTGAAATTAAACATTTGTCTGCCTACCTGCAGTTTGCTGTGAGCTGCATTTCTATGTTACCATGTTTCTGTATTGTCAAGGAGCCTGGGCTGTGTCTGTCTGCCTCCCCTCCCAGATTCCATTCTAGGGGGCCAGGCCAGCCTTGAGCAGGAAGGGGTGTGAGACAAGATTTGTAGCTCTTGGCACCCAGAACAGAAGGGCCATCTGGAGGCCAGATAATACATTTCAAACAACCAGGCTCCCAAGGTTATTCACACAGCATGAGTCTAACAAACAACATTCCTTAGCCTGCTGGTGTACATGCAGATCCAGGTGGTCAGTTATGCGGGACAAATCATAATAATATTTATCCATACTGACCACCTACCCAGGACAAGCTTCCAGTTCTAGAGTAAATGTCAGGGAGATATAATGTACACATGGGGAATACAGTCAGTAACGTTGTAGTAACTCTGTATGGTAACAGATGGTAACTAGATTTATTGGGGTGACCATTTTGCAAAGTATACAAATGTCAAATCACTATGTTGTGTATCTGAAACTAATATCAATTATACGTCAATAAAAAATAAATAAGCCTTCCCAAAATCTATGCAGTAGGTGGTATTGATCCAGTTTTTCAGTTGAGAAAAACTCAGATAAGTTAACTACACACAGGTCATAATAATAAGAGCCAGAGATTGCACCCATAAAGCAAAGATGGAAGTACAGGCAGATGGGTGCTATCATAAACACATATGTAAGTGGGATTTTGTATAGATGGAAAAGGAAATAATTCTAGCAACTTCCAAAAATGATGGCTGTGAGACATTTAGTATTTTGATCAAGTATTCCAGAGAACTTTTTTAATACTGCAAATAAAAGTAGGTCTGGAGTTGTTCAGGGTTATCACAATTTAAAGAAGGAAGGATAGGGGCACCTGGATGGCTCAGTCAGTTGAGCATCTGACTCTTGATTTTGGCTCAGGTCATGATCTCAGGGTCACAGGACCGGGCCCCGTGTCGGGCTCTATGCTCAGCATGGAGTCTGCTTGTCTCTCTCCCTCTGCTCCTCCCCCCACTCACACACTCTCTCTCTCTAAAATAAATAGATAAAATCTCTCGAAAGAAAGAAAGAGAGAAAGGAAGGAAGGAAGGTGGGAAGGAAGGGAGAAAGGTGGGAAGGAAAGAAGGAAGGAAGGAAGGAGAAAGAAAGAAGGAAGGGTAACTGCCATCCACGTCACTAGCAGTATTTTTCAAGGTGATTTTCCCATATATTTCCTTTGGCTCTTTGAGCTTACAGGTAGTTAATGACAAATTTCTGTAGATGTCCAAAAATTTCATCAGAGGCAGATCCTGTGGATTCATTTTCACTGCCTTCTTTTTAAGGTTCTTATTTTTCAGTGAATATAAAAGGCAGCTTTATCTTTTTACAAGTGTTTAGGAGTTTTATTCTCTGCCAGGTAAAAGCACAGAAAATAACAAAGCTTGTTGCCCGATTTCTGATCACAATTCCAACATTGACTTTATTTAATCTCTCTGAGCCTTTTTTTCTCACCTATAACATGAGGATAATGAGTGTTTATCTTGTGTGCTCTTAGCAAACAACAAAATGCCTGGCATATAATAAAATATTATTTTGTTCTTGAGGAACAGAGCGTCTATCATTTCATTTCAGGGCTTACTTATGTGTGGAGTAATGAGGAGGCTGCAGGGAGACAGGTTTGGGGCTCAGCCTGCTAAAAATTGCATTAACACAGTAGAGGCTGCCCTAGGCAGTCGTGAAATTCCACCAAAGTCATTATTTGAGAGGGACACTATGGAGAGGATTCTAACTTCCTACGCAGATATTGAATAAAGAGCCTTTAAAACACATTCCATCCCTAAAATTCTGTTTTCTCTAGATGTTTATTTCCTCCCTCAAGTATTATGAGCTTATATCTCACAAATTATGTTCTAAATTTTAGAGCTCAGACTATCATGGTAACATCTTTTTTCTGTTTCTCTTGGCAGGATCAGTGCCATGAATTCCGGAATATGGTGAGAGAGGGGAAGTTTATCTGCACCAGAGAAAACAACCCTGTTCAGGGTCCAGATGGCAAGATGCACATCAACAAGTGTGCTATGTGTCAGAGCATCTTGTACGTGTAGAGGTTTATCGACCAATTTGATGGGTTTTGCTTGTTTGCAAGGAGATGGTTCTTTTTAATTTAAAACTTAAGGCCCTGGGCATTGCACATGAAAAACAGACAAAGCCTTCCCTTTAGAAGAGGACAGTGAGCTTCCAGAACACTCTCGCAAGAAATGTTTCCTTTGATGATGAGAAGCATAATCATACCCGGAGCATCTGGGACAGGGAGAGAGCTGTTGTATGGTGCCCAAATCCCGGGCTTTCAGAGAAGTCCATCAGCTGAGTAACCACATACTTCCTCTTTTATGTAAAGGCAGCAATTTCTACATGATAGACTTTTCGTAGTGATTCAAGGAGATAATATGCCTCAAACATTTATAAACTTGAAGCAATATAACTACATAAAGAAAATCAATATTGGAAAGTTCAGTTCTAATTGAATATGGAAAAGAGAAAGGAGGAAGGAAGCAACTCTACATGAGAGAGAAAAATACATTGTATTTTTCCTTAATAAAATATTTTATTAATAAAATATTTTATTAAGCATAGCACTCTGGATGACAGTGTAGTAACCGAATTTATGGAAGTCGATAGCATTGCCACAAATGCACTATGAAAATTCCAACAGTTAAGACTCATTAGTAAAAAAGAAAAAAAAAGTATTTTAGGTATTTTTTTCAGATATGAGAAAATAGTGTTAGATTTGCTAAGGTTTAGAATTAGAGAAATACTTCATTTAAAAAGCTCAGTAAAAACAAACAAACAAAAAAACTCAGTAAGAACCCTATAAAAAAACAATCCTATCCTTTTTTATTCTGCAGTGAGCGAGAAGCTAGTGAAAGAAAAAAGAATGACGAAGAAAAATCAAGTGCCAAGCCCTCAGATGATGCAAAGGTCATTTCTTAAAAGATGCGAAGATAACTATTTTGCCTTTCATCCTCAGAATCTGACATTCTCCTCTGGTTTTTTGGATAATAAAAATGCCAATGTTTTGCTTCAAAGAAAATAGACTTTGCTAATATTTCATTTTGGTTATAACAACATTTTTGTCTGGCTTTAAGTTTAATATTTTTCTCAGTTTTGTAGAGAATTTGCCCTCAGTGTACATCAAATATTGCTCTCCTCTTAGAGAGAAATATGGATTGAAAAAATAGAGTGTAAAATTCTTTCACCTCAACTGCATGCTTTCCTCTGACATAAATGTGAAATGAGGCTTCGGGTAGCTTGTTGACATTGATTTTTACAATTCAGGTAACATACACTAATTACAAAGCCTCCCCTTTAGCTTCTCTCCTTGATGTCTTTTTTTTCTGTTTCCTCCAGATAGCTATCTCAGCATCAACAAATCAGTAGTGTGTATGCATTATGCTGCCTCTTCTATTTACTTTTCAAGCCTGCAAAGAAGACATCTTCATTCAGTCCTTTGCAGTGATAATCATATTTATGGCATTAGATTCCTGTGATATTGTCCTTTGGTCAAGAGTAAAGCTCCTGTGGGATGCTTGGGTGGCTCAGTTAGTTAAAGCATCTGCCTTTGGCTCAGGTCATGGTCCCAGGATCCTGGGATCGAGTTCCACATCAGGCTCCTTGCTCAGCGGGCGGCCTGCTTCTCCCTCTGCCTGCCGCTCCTCCTGCTTGTGTGCTCGTGCTCTCTCTCTCTCTGACAAATAAATTTTTTAAATATCTTAAAAAAAAAAAAAAGAGTACAGCTCATGTGGAAAAGGAGGGGAAGGAAGGAAGGAAGCTAGGAAGGAAAGGGTGAGGGAGACATGATCTATTAAGTGTTCCGCTCTGCATTTCTAGGACCCAGGAAGAAAAGTTCAGAATGAAGTGGGGTTGGAAATTTTAAAGTCTAGGCGTTCCTTGGCCTCCATTGCCAGGATAAGGGCAGTGAGTCTGAGCTCAGAGCTAAGAAAGGACTTTCTAAGACCAAGTTTTAGAAAGGGGAAAAATCCTGTTCACTTCCCCTTTATCATTTTCTAGGACGAGTGCAGTGACTTTCAGCAGTACGTGAGGAATGACCAGCTCATGTGCACTCAAGAGAATGACCCCGTGCGTGGTGCTGATGGAAAATTATACAAAAACAAGTGCCACATGTGCAGAACGATCATGTGAGTAAGAGGATCCTGTTACCCCTCCAGCTAGTGGGGGAATTGTGTTTTTATTTTTTTTAATTTTTTATTTTCATTTTTATTTTTCAGTGCAAAAGTTGTTTTTATTAAAGCATGGGGACAGGACCCATGGGAACAGCATCTTTAGAAGTTGCCGATTAAATAAATGTGTGCTCATGAATCCGTGACGTCCTTAAAATAAGTCTTTAGATTCGAGGCCCTTACGTTGAGAACACTTGATATAGGAGACAGGAAATCCATATGTGAATTCTAACCAGGATATTTACTAGCTGTGTCACTGGATAAAACTTTTGTCAACTCTCAGGATCATAACTACAAGAAAATCTTCCAAATCTTTGTTCCACAACTGGATCAGACTCAACAGAAAAGTCTTTTTCCGAAGTAACAGATTTTTACCCCCCAAAATGTACTTGGCAAAAAATTCAGGGCTAAGGAATTTGTTGTTTAGAAGGGGTTTCTAGGTTATTTTGATGAATAACTATATTTGGGGACCAATGGACATGATAGATACTGATGACGATGGTTATGGAAACACTGTGAACACAATTGTAATAATCAGTATTTTTTTAGCTCTTTGTAGTACATTCCTGAAGACAGGAATTACCAATACTACCCTCTTTTTAAGTTCTAGAAAAGATAAGCTCAAGGCATTTAAGCAACTTGTCCAAGGTCATACATCTAGTAAGTGATGAGTGCTCTCAACCAGTTCCCCATTGTGTACTTCTCTTTACATCATCCTCTAGCTAATGTTCTGTGGTTCTATCATATTTTATTTAGGATGGCATAGCTTCCACTGGAAGTTACAGGCGCTAGTCTTTGTGGCTATAACTTTAAATTACTTTTCGTCTTCTTCTGTAGTCAAAAAGAAGCTTTGGAAAGGG